AATTCTTCTTCATTTATTCGGCTACAAGGAAATGGCCTGTTGGCCACCCTTCGTAAATGGGCCTTTATTGCCTTTCCCTTACAATCCTGTTTAGACTTTGCATTAGTTGCTGTATTAAAGCCTGTTCCAAATTTGTACTAAAAATCCTTATGTTAGTGTGCACTACTGATAATGACTATATTAAAAATCTTATAGAATTGACTTATAGATAAGTGATCCATGAGAGACATGGCTCTCATTGATCAAAAGGGGGAATTGAGAAAATCAAAATCGATTCTATTTTGTAATTTATTCTGTCCTGTATCACTGTTGACATGTTGTATAGCAGCCTAAGCCATATTTCTTTGTCTTTGAATTAAGTTCTGAAGTTCATAGGTTCAGAACTTCAATCTTCCTCTCTAAGTTAATTTTAAAAGTTATTTCCCTATAAATAACTTCAATTAAAAAAAAAACCTGTTATCTCTATACCACTGGCTGTCATCATACAAATAGAGGAAATCTGTTGTCTGTATTCCATCAGTTAATCTTGCAGGTGGACTAAATCAATCAGAATTTCCAAGATGGAAGGAGGGATTGTTATGTAGCCCCACCTTCTCAATTTCCAGAAAATCATGTTGTCTCCCATGTCTATGATGCTTCTGACTCTGTAACCAGTCACATTGTCTTCCCCATCCAAGACACTGCCTTCTATTCTTTGGATGTTCCTCTTTTTATCTATAAAAATGATCTGTCAGCCCTTATTTGGGTTCTTAGTTTGTTGAAGAGTCTGAGACCCTGTTTATTGGCAAATTTATGCCTTGATAATAAATTGATCATGCTCAGAGCTTGCACCTTAGTTTGCTTTAATTTCAAATGCAACAAAGGATATGACCCATTTTGAGATCAGTTTGGTCAATGTATAGTCTTACCTTACCTTACATTTGTATGATGTTTCTAGATTTGCAAAATGCTTTGCATTCCTTATCTCATTTGAAAGGAAACAAAGGAAATGAGCATTTATTAAACACCTACTATGTGTGAGGCACTGTGCTAAGCACTTTACAACTATCTCATTGGATCCTCACAAGTCTACTAGGTGCTATAACCCCCCATTTTACAGTTGAGGAGACTGATGTAAATAGATGTTAAGTAATTTGCCCAGAGTCACACAACTAAGTGTCTGAGGCTAGATTTGAACTCAAGTCTTCCTGACTCCAGGTCCAGCGCTCTACGCACTCCACCATCTATAAGTACATAAAGAGAGGAATAGGTAGAATGTCAATTATTTTAGGGCAGGGACCATGTCATTTTTGTCTTGGTATTCCCAATTCCTAGCACAGAGCCTGGCACACAGTAGGCACTTAATGAATACATGTTAAATTAAATCTTATTTAGTTATATGAAATTACATAAAAAAGCAAAAGGCTCCCAAATGTGGGAGACCTTGAAGTCCAGATGAAGGAGTTTGAATTCAAACTTAATAAGCTTTTGAGTAGAAGAACAGTGACACACTCAGACTTTCTATTACCAAGAAGATAAAATACAAATTTCTTCTGGCATTTAAGACACTCTATAATCTAGGTCTATTGAACAGTTCCCACTTTGTTTTACTTGATTCTTCTTCATACACTCAAATAGAACTATTAGCATGTCTTCATTTTCATAGTATACTCCCCCAACTCAAAGTATTTGTGCAGGTTCTTCCTGGCCCCTGGCATGGACTCCCTCTCTATCTCTACCTGCTGTTTACTTTAACATTTAATCACAGATATTGCACTGGAAAGGAATTTAGAAGCCATCTAGTCAAACTCTGAGAGTTAAAGGATATGTTCAAGGTCACAAAGATGACATAGCATGCTAATGCTATCCATGGGGTTTTCTTGGCCAAGACAATGGAGTGGTTTGCCATACAGTTCTTTGTATATAGCTCATCCCTTTATTGGATTTATAAGCTCCTTGAGGAGAACAATCATCTCGTTTTTCCATCTGAGAATTCCCTTCACAGCATATTGTGCGTGTTGCTGCTCAGTTGTATCTGACTCTTGGTGACCTCATTTGGAGTTTTCTTAGCAAAGATACTAGGAGTGGTTGCCATTTCCTTCTCCATCTCATCTGACAGATGAGGAAACTGAGACAAAGAGGGTTAAATGACTTGCCCAGAATCATACAGCTAGTAAGAGTCTGAGGCTGGATTTGAATTCAACAAAGATGAGTCTTCCTGACTGCCTGGCACTCTATCTACTGCACCACCTAGCTTTCCTATATTGTATGTAGTAAATGTTTAATAAGTGTTTATTGGATTAAAGATTTGGTGAATCATATGGGAGATCTGAAAAAGAAATGATCATTTATAACTTGAGGCTGGGAGCAATGAGAGTGAGTTTCACAGAGGAGGCAACATTTGCATATGACCTTGACATTTCTGATCTTTGATCTCCCTAACTGAAAAATGAGGGTAGTAATAACTGTCCATACTATCTCATGGGGTAATTTTTAGAATTAGTTGAGATACTATATATGAAGGTGCTTATGTAAAGCAGTATATTCAAATGAGAGGAAGATTTGAAGATTAATAATAATATTGGATTTATATAGTTATCTGAGGTTTACATAATGATAAATTGAAATATGGTGGTATAAGTGGCTTTTTTTATAGTACCAAAATAAAAAAAAAATCATATAGCTCATGAGAAAATGAAAGATATTCTGGGAATCCAGATTTCCTATTTGCTTTTGAGTATTACAAGTTCCTTGATGTCCTTAGCATCTCAGAATTTGAGTCCTCTTTATAAATGACAGCTAGATACAGAAATCCATTTACAAGCACTGAGAAGCTGAGATAAGACTTTTAATGATTAGTTAGCATTTGGGCTCCAGTGATTCAGATGCCCAGATCTGTCACAGCCTATAACTTTATCCCCCCTCCCTTGGCCTTCCCTGCTCTTCCCACCTCCCTCTATAAGCTGCTTTGAATTTCAGTCCGCATATAAGAGCTGGCATTAGCTGGCTTTCAGACACTGTTACATTTACAATGCACTCTAAATACATTACCATGTTGTATCCTTACAACATCCCTGTGAGATAGGTAGTCTAAGCATTCTGAGTCCTTGATAGAACCAGCAAAAGGGATCTTTGTTTATCAAATTTTTCAAGTTTGAGCTTTGCAAACAGCCTTTCCCATTCTTCCTTAATCTTAGCACCTTCCCTCACAGACTACCCCCATTTTATCCTATGTGGGTATATATATATATATATACACATATATACATATACATATACACATAAGTGTTTACATGTTGTCACCCCCATGAGATTGTAAGTTCCTTCAAAGTAAGGACTAGTTTTACCTTTCTTCATATCAGCAGTGCCTATCATAGTGACTGGCAAACTATAGGTGCTTAATAAAAACTTATTGCTTTGATGACTCATCCTTACTCTATAATTGAGAGAGACTGACAATTATGATAACTATTTCATCCATTAAGAGGGTAAGGGTACATAAAGGACAAGACTGTCCTTATTTAATTCTCAGTGAGACAACATGGTATAAATAAGCATCAGACTGGAATCAGACCACTTGGGCTTTGGCTTTAGCAGCAATTTTGGAGATCATCAAGTCCAAAGCCCTCAGTTTACATATGGAAAACTGAGGTCAAGAGAGGTCAAGTGGCTTCCGCAGAGTCATGCAGATAGTGTCTGAGGCAAGATTTGAACCCAAGTGTTCCTGATTCTAAGCCCAACACTCTGTTCACTAGACTGTTGTTTTTCTTCGTCTATAAAATAGGGATGAAAACACTTGCCCTACCAATCTCACAGAGTTCTTTATGGGAAGGTGTGTTGTACACATTTAATTGCTGTACAAGATGTGGCCATCCCTCCTCACCTTATAGACCTTCACTTCCTGCAAACACAATTTAAACATCACCTTCTATACAAAGATTTTCCTGATTATCTCTGTCCCCCCACCAGCTGCTAGTGCCCTTCCACCCCAAAATACATTTACTTATTTAATGTTTATTCTGAATAGAAGGTAATAAGCATTTATATAGCATCTACTACGTCCCAGGTAGTACAATAAATGCGTTTATAAATATTATCTCATTTGATCCTCACAACCACCCTGAGAGGTAGGCATCATTATTATCCTCATTTTGTAGTTGAAGAAACTGAGGCAAACAGATATTAAGTGACTTGTCCAGGGCCACACAGCTAGTAAATATCTGAGGTCAAATTTGAATCCAGATTTTCCTGATTTCAGGTGCAGTTCTCTATCCATTGTACCAATAGCTGCCTCTATATAATGTGTGTGTGTGTGTGTATAATGTGTGTGTGTAGGAATGTATGTATATGTTACTGATAGAATGATCAACTTGATAGAATATCATTCTTTTGCCTCTCTATCTCCAGGGTCTACCAATATATCAGGTATAGTGTAAGTGCTTAATTAAAGATTGTTGATTGCTTGAAATTTGTGAATTATTATTTCTACCAAAAGATGCAGTCCTACAGATCTGCTGGCTTAAAAACTGCTGAGCTATCAGACACTGCATTTTTTTTTCCAGTTTGTTGGGGGGTGTGGTTGGGGAATTGCTTCCTGTATACAAAAGCTATTACTCAGCTAAATTCCTAACCATTTGGGATGTCATGATAGGTTCCTTGCTGAAACTGTTTCTCTTTCAGGACTGTAGTTGTCTGTATCGCCATGCTTTTATGGTCACACATCTTTTCAATGACTTCCTAAGCAGTTTTGCAACTAGCTATGCTCCTGATATCCTCTTAGAAGAATAGCTTTTTTAGGGAATTATAGCACCAGTACTTACTCATTTTGTACCACTAGATAAGATCTTTAAATAGCTAGGGAGGGGTGAGTAGGGGATAGGGTGGAAGGGAATGATGGAAAGAACAGTTAGGCAACCTCTTGGAAACATAAATAATGTCACATTGGAAAATGCAGTGCATATATTATTGACTTTCAGCATTCATTCCTTTTTTTTTTCCTTCCATAGCATGGAAGTACTCACCATAGCATGATTCAACCATTTTGGAAAGATTGCATCCAGAGACTTAGGGTAAATCAGCTCTTGGTCATACAGAAAGATTGTCCAGAATGACATAAACACAAACTAGAATAAAAACATAGAAGCAATTCTTGTTAGCTTTGGTTAGTATGCTTTTTAAAAAACCAGAAAATTCTGAGATTATTCATGAAAATGAAATAGCTAATGAAAAATGGGGATTAGATTAAAAAAATTCTTTCATAAATACTAGAAAGATATAATGGAGGAGAGATTGTTTTTGTTGTTGTATGACTTCTAGGGACTGGTTCAGTAGTCAACTTGCCATCTTTTTACGTCCACATAGGACAGAAGGAATATGGATTACTGAAATCATAGATCTAAAAGGCACATCTAGTCTAACCCCATCATTTTACAGATGAATGACGTGACTTGTCCAAAGTCACATAGGTAGTAAGTATCTAAAGGCAAGATCTTGTCTTGCTTCCTGACCTTTCAACATTCTTTGACACTGTTGTTCACTCTCTTCTCTTTGATCTTTTCTTCTCTCTAGGTTTCCAGGATACCACTGTCTCTTGGTTCTCCTATCTATCAGACAGTTCATCTTAGTCTCCTTTGCTGGATCTTCACCCCGATTACACCTTCTAACCACAGGTGTCTCACAGGGCTATATCTTGGACCCTCTCCTCTTCTCCCTCTATAGTATTTCACTTTAATCTCATCAGCTCCTATAGGTTTAATTATCATCTCTATGCTAATGAATTTCAAATCTACCTCTCCTACTCTAACCTTTCTACTGATCTCCAGTCGCATATCTCCAATTGCTTTTCAGACATGTTGAACTAGATGTCCACTAGACATCTTAAACTCAACATGTCCAAAATTGAACTTATTATCTTTCCCTCTAAACCCTCGTTGCCTCTAAACTTTCCTAATACCATCAAGGGGACCACCATCCTCCCAGTCCTAAGAGATACTTCAGTTTGGTCTTTGTATTCCCAGAAGACAGTTCAATGCTGAGCATATGATAGGTATTTTATAAACACATAAATAGAAATATGGCCAAAAAATCTGCAGTATTGTGGAATATCCCCTCAACACAATTGAAGATCACTTAGTCCTGATGCCAGGACTCCAGATACTCTATTTTCTCCAATGCCACTCCCCTATCTCCAGTCCCACTCCTCCCCCAAAAAGAGTTTTCCATGACAGACCATGGGCTTTTCAAAACTCATCACTTTCTCAGTATTTTATCAGATGAGACCAATCAACTCTTTGAAGAGTTGCTGTCAGTTTTAATCCCTCTAGGTATGTTCACTGTTGTTGTATGTGTGAATGTTTACATTTGCTCTTTTCACTTGTCCTGCCTCTTCTTTTTTGTCTGTGGGCTTTTGGGTAGTTTTGGGGTGGGTAGAAGTTGAGGGATGACGTGTACTTCCAGCATGGTGTACTAGAAAGATGGCTGAATTTGGAATCAGAGGACCTTGGTTCATAAACCAGCTCTGCCTTTTACTACCTATATGACCATGGGCAAGCCACTTAACTACTCTTCCATAAAGTGGGGGGTAGGGTAGAGAGGTTTAGACTAGATGACCTCTAAATCAGAGATTCCAGCTCTGAATCTCTGCTACTGTGATCCTTTGTATCTTCTTATAATTCTTATTCTAGTGTTCTTCACAGGGAGGTCTTTTCAATTGTATTCAAATAAATACATATTCATATATTAATGAATATAATAATAATACTGAATGAATTTACTATATTATTATGCACAATATATTAATGAATGTGTTTGATATCATTATTATATTCATTAATATATGAATACACACACATATGTCTGCTGTCTTTATGACCTAGTAAGAAGCATAGTGTAATTAATGGATAGAGATATAGAAAGACCCCAATTGAAGTTTCCCCTCTGATAAATACCTAACTGCCTGTGTGAACCGGAGTAAAGTCACAATTTCTCAGTACCTCAAAAGACTAGCTAGGTGCAAGAGATATGAAGACAAAAAGCAATAGTAGCTTGCATTTTACTGGAAGATCTCTTATGCAACATAGCATTTTTGATCTGGGAGGACCTTAAACATCATATAATTCCACCCTTTGATTTAACAGTGAACAAGTCAAGGCTCTGAGAAACTCAGCCTCACTAAAGGTCATACAGTTAGTTAGGGACGAAGCAACGAATGGAACCTTAAGCTATCTGATTCCCAGTCCAATATTTTTTTCCCCATCATGCCATGCATATTGACGAGGTAAACAAAAACATCCTCCCCTGCAGAAACCAAGCACGGATTCTCCTGTCTGGGCTAGCCTGCCAGATCCTTTGGGAGCTTTAGTGTCTCCAAGACTCAATTTCTGGTCCCAGTGGGGTTATATCATTTTTATCTGTGCAAAATAGCTGGGAACTGAGACTGGGAAATTCTGGGCTTTCATTTTCTGCTTGGTTTTGGTAGGGAAGTGTTTGTGGAGTTTCTGTGACTGAAGTCTTACAGCAGTGAGGTTCAAAGCTATGGTTAGTGCTTTGTCAAAAGAAAAAAAAAGGTCAAAGTCAAAGATAGAAACTTAAGAGGCCCACAGAGGTAAAATGATTTGCCCAAGGTCACACTGGTAGCAAACATCAGAGGCGCAACTTATTTGAGTCTTCCAACTCCAAAACCAATGTTCTTTCTTCTTTTCCTTGCTGCCTCACACAGAGGTCTCATCACAAAATATTTACTCTCTGTGGTAGAAAAGAAAAAAAAAACAACCAAAAAAAAAAACCCTCCAGAAACAAGTGGGATCCCATTAGTTAAGGAATAGCTAAAAAGAAGTGCCAAATGAGCATAAGGAACTACCATCATGCAGTAAGAAATGATGACTATGAGGAATTCAAAGAAACATAGGGAGATTCATGTGAACCAATGGGGAGGAAAATGAGGGAAACCAAGAAAAGGAGATTTGCAGCAAATAAAACAATATAAATGGAAAGAAGACTGCAACAGAACCGAATTTGAAAAAACCCGTGAAGATCTTGGAAAACAGATAATGAAACAAACCTCCTCCCTGACGGGAGAGGTGGGGGGGGTAAGGGGATGCTAGATTGGGATAATTTACAAATTGTCAAAAAATATTTTGGATGCTTTTGCTTATTTTTTTTCCTTGTCATAAGAGAGGATTCAATGGGGGTTGGGAGGATGGGAGAATTCAGTGGGAGACGTCACTTTAAATCTCTCAGCCTCAGTTTCCTCATCTTTAACATGAGGATAATAAAAGCATCTCTTCTGCAGGGTTGTTGTGAAGCTATAATGAGCCAATCTTTCTGAAGTGCTTTGCAGTTCTTGCCATAGAAGCCTCAGCTACTTTTCCTGGAAAATAAATCATCTTATCTTCCGGACTGATTGCCCCAGCAGACACTCCCTTTGACACAAAGGAGTCCTACACAGGTGTTATACACACAGGCATCAGAATCTGATTCAAAAGAATGAAAATTATGCAGGACAAGTGACCACCTACTTATTATTCAGGGAACTAACCTCTTCCATGCTTGGGTCCTCTGTAGTCTTTTCCATTTATTTAAACGAGGTGATTCTGGTTTCTGAATAAAAGAGCTCTCAAAAATCTTGTTACTGAGGCAGCCTCATGCAGTAGGAAAATGGGGAGTCAAAATAGGGAGTCAATAATGTGAAAATATGTTTAATAGGAATGTATATGTAGAGCCTATATCAGATTGCACACCATCTTGGGGAGGGATGGGGAGAGGGAGGGGGAAAATTTAAAACTCAAAAGCTTATGGAAATGATTATTGAAAACTAAAAATAAATTAATAAAAAAGAGAAGAAAAAAAAAGCTCGGATTCCTTAAGAGTCTGACCAATACGGCTGATTGTTCGAATCATGCCTTCCCTCTACCCATGTTTTAATAAACCTTGTCTTTGGCTGAAAAAAAAAATAGAGAGTCAAGGACTGTAATCCCTGTAGTCCCTAAATGCATGCATATCTATACATAGAGTATATATGTGTACTACATATAGAAGCAGACATAAATATTAATCTATGCATAATGTATTGTACACATACAAATGATAATGTATCTACATATGTCTATATCCAGTGTCTTGGATTATATGTCAGAAACATCTGGATTTGAACCTTGCCTCATATTTACACTTAGAACTTACTGCAGACACAGGAAAAGCCAATGTTGTGAAGAGAAGATCTCTGGAGGCAGTTATCCACTTAATGTCTTTATTTCTCCTCATTCCTTTCAACACGTCATCCAAGCAGGCGACTCCGTAGAAAATGGCCTGTAAGAGCTAAATTCGTTGCAACAAATGAGGACATTTTCATTTGCCTTTAATTAATATATTCCTCACTGACGTAAAATCCTATTCCTCTGGGAATGATGCAGGAATAGGAGGAAGGAGTTGTTTTGTGCTTCTGGTGAAAAGGCAGTCCCAGAGAGGTAGCTTCCAGCTCAGTGGGCCCTGACCTTGCTTTGCTAAAACCAATTTTGTAAAGTACTTTAGGAGATAATAATGTACACAATAATTAGTTTAATAGACAAGCTAAATAGCAAATGGTATAAAGAGTCAGCTCACAAAGAGAGCTTAATGGAATAATTTGGCCATATCATGTGTGTGTGTATCTGTGTGTCTGTGTGTCTGTGTGTCTGTGTGTGTGTGTGTGTATCAATATCATGTTCAAATTGCCATAGAAAGGAGAAGAATTTGTGGTGCAAGGAGAATTCTGGAAGGCTGGGAAAGAGCTGTGTTCTGTGTTCTTACTGTGAGCAGTGTGCTCAGTTCAATGCACTGAACTGAGCCAAGAGCCACAGAGGGCAGGCCTTGGAAACTACTCCTTGGTGGCCCCTCACTGGTAGCTGGGGAGGCACTTGGGGAGGTACCCATAACAGCAGCTTTGTGACCTGAAGAGACTGACTCAGTTCCCTGATTGCCTTACTAGGCAATGATTTTGGCACTGGGGAAAGCATCTGACTCAGAATGATTAAAGTCAGCAAAGGTGTATTGAGTGCCTGCTTGCACACCTATTATTTATCCAGCAACAAAAACAACAAAACCGTGTATCTACGGATAGATAGATAGATGAAGATATATGCATAGTATATATGTGTGTTTGTGTATTTATGCATATATATAATGTGTGTGCATATACTATGAATATATGTATAAGTATATGTGTTCATATGTATGCATATATACATATACATTTTACATATACATGCATATATATACATGCACATATACATAAATGTATGTGTGTGTGTGTGTGTATACATATATATGTATATATGTGTATATATATGTGTCAGACACTCAGCTAAGTGCTAGGGATACAAAGAAAAGTTTTACAAAACAAAAACAGTTCCTGCTCTCAAAGAATATACAATCTAATCAGAGAGACAGCATATGTCTAGGGCACATACAGGTTATATCAGAAGTATATGAAGGTAATCTGAAAAAGGAAGGCCTTAGCAGCTGGACAAGCAGGACAGGCCTCATTACAGAAGGTGGAATTTGAGCTGAGTCTTTAAAGAAGCCAGGGGATCTAAGAGGCTGCGGTGAGAAGGGAGGGAGCATTACCAGAACTCTTAGGCTGTGTAGGAAATAGAAAGTGTAAGTCCCTAACCCAGATGAGTTTATCATCCAGCTGGGATGATACTCACCACACACACACACACACACACACACACACAGAATTAGAAAACAAGTCAAAGTTGTAAATGATAAAGTGAAGTGAGAAAATATAAAATATAAACAATAAACATTATAGGAAATCAGAGGAGTGAGAAGGAGGAATATTGGCTATGAACGGATAGAAGAGATGCTACAATTTTTATTTTTAATTTATTATATGTATATGTCTCTTATCCTACTCCCAATTGTTAGTTTTATCTTTTCTGAAGGAGCTTACAGTTGTCCCTTCAATATAGCGACTTGCCCCATCATTTCCAAATATATCACCGGTTGGCATAAGAAATTAAATGGCAATTTTTAAGGAGTTTTGTGGAAGCCACACATGACATATGAAGGCCAGCAGGCAACACAGAGCCTATGACCAAATATTTAACCCAAATTTTACAATGAGGCACACTAAATAACACATAAAAGAAAAAGAAAAAATTGAGACTTCTTCTCTAGCATAAAGGGAGAACCAAAAAATTTTACATGAATTTTCTAGGTTGCAGGAGCACCGCACCCCTACCTCCAGTGATGTGGGAGAGATAACTGTAAAATGTTTTGTTTATTGGTGTTTTCTTCTCTTTAAATAATTCTTTTAGGGTATTAGAGAGGCAAGAAGAGCTTCATTCCCAGTGAATCGGGCATTCTGGGCTCCTTGACACTATGTTGAGATTCTGGCCTAGGCACAGCACCATTTGTCCAATGCAAATGATAGCAAGATGGAAGGAGTCCTAATTTTGGAGTCAGAGGACCTGAATTCAAATTCTGATTTTACTGGCTTTGGGCAAATCATTAAAATTCTTTGGTCTCAGTTTTCCTCATCTAAAAATGAAAGGGCTGAACTAGATCTCCTGTGAGGCCCCTTTCAGCTCTAATGATCCGATGATAATGACGTCGGCAACAACAGACTTAGGGTAGCACAAATTTAGAGTGTCAAATTGAAGAGGCTCAGTGATGCCCAAGACCATGCTAGTCCTTCTGCTACTGTGGACACTGATGTTGGTGTAGCATTTATACAGTATGTTGCTGTCGTCATTGTTGTTGTTGAGTCATTTCAGTTATGTCTTACTCATGCCCAACTTTTCAAGATAGGGGTTTTCTTGGCAAAGATACTGGAGTGATTTGCCATTTCCTTCTTCAATTCATTTTACAGATGAGGAAACTGAAGCAAACAAGTTTAAGTGACTTTCCCAGGGTGATGTGGAAACTGAAGCAAACAGAGTTTGAACTCAAGTTATGGGGCAACTAGGTGACTCAGGGAATAGAGCACTGGGGCTAAAATCAGGACAACCTGGGTTCAAATCTGGCCCTAGACACTTACTAGCTTTGTGACCCTGGGTAAGTCACTCAACCTCTGTTTACTTCACGTCTTCATCTGTAAAATGGGGAAAATAATAGCACTTACCTCCCAGGGTCATTGTGAGGATCAAATGAAATAATAATTATAAAGTGATCATTCAGTCGTATCTAACTCTCCATGACCCCATGGACCATACTGTACGTGAGATTTTCTTGGCAAAGATATTGAAGTGGTTTGCCATTTCCTTCTCCAGTGGATTAAGGCAAACAGAGGTTAAGTGATTTGTCCACAGTCAGCTAAGAAGTGTCTGAGGTCACACTTGAACTCAGATCTTCCTGACTCTAGGACCAGCACTCTATCCTCATCACCATTTAGCATATATGTAATACACCATGTGTATTATAACTAGTCTGAGCCATATGGGGATAGCGTGTAAAGTATTATTTTCCCTGCCCCTCACTTCAGGTCTTGGAGGCACGGTGGTGGAGACAAACTAAAACCCAGTGGAGTTTCGTAACCTGGGAAGCAAGGAAGCCTTAAACCTTAGTTTGCATTTTTTGCTTCCTTGTTTTCTTGTAACAAAGAGAAGGACCCCAAGTTTCTAAGGTGCTCCCTAAATAAGCGGGGAGTTACCTACATGTATCTAAACTCAGTTTTACCGGGAACCTGAATGTTTCTGAACAAATCTTCACTTCTGTCAAGCTGTGACCCAGAAGGCCTGTGGGATAAGAAAACTGCGGCCAACATGAATGGGGGCTTGCTTTTACTATTTGAGGGACTGAAACAGGGATAGAATGAAGATCTCAGTCTTTGATACTGAAGTCATTATTTTGATATCATCAGGTCAGGATTTGTTACCATTTTGATTAAATGCTTTGCTAAAGTAATGATGGTGGGAGAAACGACTCAGTAAGAAACGGTTTGAAGGGGCAAATGGGAGCAGCTTGTATATGAGGCAAAGAAGGTGAATGATTATTGTTTCATACACACACACACACACACACACACACACACACACACACACACACACA